TTTTTAATAGAGAATCATGCGTTGAAGTAATAATACTAATGAATGCTAAGAATAATTTGGTAATGCCAAGGAATGGTAATTCAATTATTTTTGCTATTAGTGCTTTATGACTTTTTATATGTATAGCATACGCAAATTTATATATTGATATTGCCATTCTTATTTAAGTTGTTTTTCGTATTCAGGTTTTTCACTCCTATCTGGTATACCAGTAATTTTGACTTTATTTATAGCATTCTCAGAAATATCAACAGCTTTTTATATCAATCCAAGCCCATAATAAAAAGTCATATCCATAAAATTCCAAAACAAATATCAAAATATTACAATAGAATTTAAAATAGCCTTGAACTTTCGATGGAATTTCAGACTAGAAAAAAAATTTAATGTGTTGATACTTCCAAGTAAGAACGAAGGATGAAGAAGGGTAGAATTTTGTTTAGCTAATAGTATGCATCTTTGGATGTAAAAAAAGGAAAGGATGATTAGAATGGATTAAATATTGTTTTTTTTTTTTTTTTTTTTTTTTTTTTTATTGACAATTATAATAGTACGAGTTTTAATTAGTTTTTTTTTTTTTATCATTTACTTGCTACTTGTGTAAGTAATACTTGTTCTGCTGCTTCTTTTTTTGATTCTTGTGAATAACGATTAATCTAATTTTCTATAGTGCTTTGTGTAGGAATGTCTTCTTCATTAATTTCTCCACTCTCTACAAGTTCCAATAAGCTATTATACATATTACTAGCAGTATAACGATCACTTGAATTTGCTTGACCTAACATAAAAAATCTTTTTAAAGCTTCTACTACGTTTTTGGATAATCGTTTTCCTCCTTTTTTTCCGTATTTTTGATTATGTTTTAACGTCCAACCAAGAGGTAATGAAAATAAGATAATATCTGGTGATCTAGTAATTAAATGAAGAAACTTGAAATTACAAAAAAAAAAAAAAAGATTAAACAAAATCTAACTATTTACTTATCAACGTCCATCAAATCAGTACTTTCAGTTGTATTTTCTATATTGCTAATATTATTTTCTAAATTGTCTAAAGTTTCTAGACATAAATTTGTTTTCAAAATTTTTACTAATTCACTTCGAAGCATGCTTTTATCAACAGGAATATTAAGGTTTTCCAATTCTTCATGTAACTTAGCCGTAGTCCACCGTCTAAGGTCCCATAAATCAGAATTCGATGCTATTTATTAAACAGAATATTTACAGATATTATATTTATTTATTTATTTTCAAATCTAAATTTATTTAATTTGAATATAAATCTATCTTAATTACTAGACAAATGGCATATAGGCATCATCCAAGTTTCTTGGGGTACAGTATGATCAGAATATTCAGGTTGTGATTGTTCAATATCTGATTTGAGTAGTTTGTAGATTTGGGTAGATGAAATATAATTAGGTTTTCCAAAACCAGGCAATGGACGTGAGCATATAAATCCTGCATGCGGCCTCTCAACTGGCCAAGTCCATTCAGAGTAATTGGATATTTCTAAAATAGTTTTTATGTTACTTTTTTTTCTATTTTTACGATTAGGCTGAATATGTGTAGTTGAAGTTCTACTAAGGTTTCGTATTGCTTTTTCTATATCTTCACTAGTTGTTACATCAAAACCAAGATGTACATATCGTTTTATGCAATGGGAAATCCAAATATTTCTAAAGTTAGAATATTTGTAACAACAATTATAATAATGAAATCTAGTACCTGGGCATGGTGAGAATCTATTGATGTTTTGGCTTCTCCCGCTTCAAAAAATACCTATTTTTTACACTCGATATTATACCATTCTTTTCAATAAGAGACTATTATCATTAGTTCTGAGTTGTGATAATGAGGACCATTATCTGACATAATGATAATCCATTCTGGTTTTTGTTCAAGAGAATTAAAAACTGCATCAAACAAAGAAGCAGTAAACCAGGCATCTTGTTTGACATCAGCAGACTAATGATCGAAAGCATGAATATTTATATCTATTGAATTTGTAGGTCTAGTAAATACAAGGACGGTATGCAATGTCCACCCTCGCTTCCCAAAAAAATCCTGCTTTGTTTCACAAGCACATTTTGGTAAGATGCGCATTTTGTAATCTACAATTATTAAGGCACTATTTGGACTAAATTGCATTAAATTAGCATTAAATTGGCTATTAAGATATCGT